ACTGCCCGCCCACCCCAACCTGGCCCACCACCAGCCTTACCACTATTACCAGCACATCTGAACCTTGCTGCACCAGCACTTCTTCTACCCCTGTCTCAACACCCTGTTTCTGTAAAATTGGGGATGATATATTTTCACCTGGTTAGTTTACCTTTTTTTTTTCATTCCAGGAGTCTTTTTTTTTATTTCTTTCTGTTTATATTTTATTTCTTTCTTTTCATTTTTTACTACATCTTTCCTATATAATCCAATTTTTTCTTTGAAATTTTATAGTTCCTTATTTTAATTTTTTCTTTCTCTGTATCTTACTTTATTTTGTTTTTTGTTCTTCAGGTGATTTGATTTACAGCAGAACAGATAGTGATGGATGTCGATTTTACGCCATCTGTAGTCCAAGATGTACAATTGAACGACATACTGTACATTGTAACATAACTACTGCTCTGCCCACTAGTTCTCCTGAATGGTCTACCATAACAACATTAGTTCCTGTGCCTACCACATCTAGAGTTCCTTTTCATGGTTGTGTTTCTTCTACTTACCCTCCCCTACTGGTATGCAGTTTCTGTGTTATGTTATGATTAATAACATCAATGTTATGTTGACAACAGTATGAAACAGTTTGCAGTCTTCAAAGCTTATATGTATAGATTGCGAGAATAAGCTTAGCTAGTAATGGGCAATATATAGATCATAAAATTTGTATTTCCCTTCTCTATAATTTTTTTTCTTACTGAGAAAGCAAGCTACACTTTTTTATAATGAGTTTAGTGCTATTAAAACCCTTTCTGATCCACTGCATTGCACAATTAGCAAACCTTCTTTCTGAAATAATAGAGGAAGTTGTTTTGTGCATATTGTTTCTTCTCTAAAGAGAAAAAATTAAGTTATTGTGCAGGCTTTTATCCGTTTCTGTTCTTCTGCCCTCTTACCTCTGGTTCTCTACACATTCTTTTTTTTTGTTTTTTTGATAGTGATTGTCTGTGCTGATAGTGAAGTACAGTATACATAGCTAGTATAAAGGACATCGGTTCCCTTAATTTAAGAACAATCTCTCCAAACCTCAGAAGAGCTCCTCAGTCAGAAGAAACATCTAAAATTAAGCTTCCCACTTCCTTTTTTGCAATAAAAAGTGGATTGTGTAGAATATTGGCAACCTTGTACTATCAGTGAAGTTTTTCATTTCAGCCTTTGCTTCCGACTTGGAAAACAAAACAGTGTCTGATCCTCCATATTGTGGTCAGAATTATGAATAACTCTGGTCAACATTGCAAATCATTAGTACCACAACTGAAGAGAAGTAGCACATATTAATTTCCTTTCCAACAGCAGCATTTCTGGAAACAATATACCATTAAACTAAAAATATGAGTAGAGTTTGTATCTGTTTGCAAATTCCTATGATAGCAATTCTTGTTTATTTTGCAGATTGGACAAAAATACAAATTATCCAACTGTACAGAAATCATCTGTAAGGGAGACAACAAGGTAGAAGTAATTCCAACGCACTGCCCACCTGTGAAGGAAATTACCTGTGCAAACAAATATCCGGCAATACTGGTACCAGATGAAAACGGCTGCTGTTACCGATATGAGTGTCAATGTAAGTGCCAGCAGATTAAGGAATAATGCTTTTTGAAAGAAGCAAAACTTTTGACAGATTATATGGGCCTTTTGTTTTCTTAGGGTTGCTCTATAAATTGTATAAATTCCCTTCAGTTTCTAAATTATTTCTTCTACATTAATTTTCATCTTTATTTTCTAAATATTTTCTCTCTACCAGGTGTGTGCAGTGGATGGGGTGATCCTCATTATATTACTTTTGATGGAATCTACTATACTTTCCTTGAAAACTGCACTTACGTCCTGGTGAAACAGATTGTACCTAAATATGACAACTTCCGTGTTTACATTGACAATTATTACTGTGATGCAAAAGATGGACTTTCCTGCCCTAAATCCATTCTTATTTTCTACAAATCGGCAAAAGTGGTGCTGACCCGTGAACTCATGAATGGTGTCATGACCAATGTGGTAAAATATACATTTTTTACTTCTCTATTTTTGCAAAAAATAAAGTCCATAGGTCTTACAGATTCTCATTTGAATTAGTCTGTTAGAATATCATGTCACAGAGGTGATGAGGGCAGAGGGTATCATTAGGATAAAAAAAAGACTACACCAGTTTCTAAGAACAAAATGTCAGAAACAGCTTAGCACTATGAATATATTATGTCCGTGTATCTGTATATATAGACGACACTAGGAAACAGACTAATACAGCAGATAGAGAGAGAAGACCAAAATAATGCTTATGTTGGTGCTTCATTCGTGTTTCATTGTGCCATTCACTTACGTAAAGAAAGACATTGTGAAGAAACATGAATGCAAATCACAAGCATGATTCTTCTCTCATGGTGAAGATGGGTATGTATCCCTTATCAGCTGGATGACTAGGCACTGCTTCCTCTGCATAGGGAATCTTTGGCACCAGAGCCGTGACATGCTTCCGCTTCCAGTTCCCTACTGGGAAGAGACATATAGCTGAAGAAAAGGGATAACTGGGAGTGTCACTTCACCTTCGTGATCCTTAACTAGTGCTGGCAAGCCAGTGAAAACAAAAAGTCAGTCCCACTGTTACACTGGGGAATTTATTAGTTGATTAGAGAACAGAAAGAGGTAGGAGGAAAAGTTTGTCTCAATATGCACTCTCCCCCTACAAAGCCATGCCAAGTTCTCCTTACCTACAGTCAGAAAGGCACACTGAAACAATTAGTCCAGTGAAAGAAATCACTGTGAAGGAAAACAGTAACTGACAGTTTTAACTCTTACTTTATCCCAATTCAATGAGAAGAAAGTTGCAGAATAATTCCTGACAAAAAGTTACTAAGCAAGTATGTATACCTTCATTAGCTCATATAAGATACAGGCTGCAAATGGAACAGCTTAGATTAACAAATAAATATGACTGCTACATAAAACTGGCACCAGGGACATTTGACTTCATTTTGAATTCAGAGAACTCTTCCAATGCCAAACAGCATGTAGTATAGGGGCCGTGTGATTTTGTGGCAGTTATTACATAATAATGGCAGGAATATTTCTGGAGTTAAAGAAAACTACCACTCATTTTCACATGAAAAATATTTACAGTAAATAAAATTATGAGGGTTACAAAGAAAATACTTGGATTTAGAATGCTGTGTGTTAGAACACAATCTTCACAAACATGGTACCTAGAGGCCACTTAGATTATTATCACATTAGAGCAATATAGCAATACAAGCTGAGATATTAATACACATATATGCTGTTATTGCAATGCCAACAGGCATTGGATGTGATGCAGATCCTGGAGCATCAATCTGGAGCTCCAGATAGAGATTCTGTTAGTGTGTGCAGAGAAGGGCAATGAAGCTGGTTCGGGGTCTAGAGCACAAGTCTTATGAGGAGTGTGTGAGGGAACTCCAGTTGTTTAGTCTGCAGAAAAGGAGGCTCAGGGGGGAAAGGTCCCTTCCAATCTAGACAATTCTATGATTCTATGCACAACAATATGGAGTTATGCATAATTATGAAGATTATAAAATACATTATTAAAAACAATCAGGCAGAAGCAGTGCTTATTCTAAAGTTGTGTCTTTCTAACCCCACATTCAGATGTACTTCAACAATAAGATTGTCAAACCAGGCTTCAAAAAAGACGGCATTTCTTTCTCCACACTTGGCATCAACATGATTGTTGAAATACCAGAGATTGGTGCAACCATCACCTTTAGTGGGCTGATTTTCTCCATCAAACTTCCATACAGCAAATTTGGCAACAACACCGAAGGACAGTGTGGTAAGACAAATGCACTAATTGGAGGTGGGCCTCTTTCCTCACCCTACCGTGGTTATTTTCACCCACTCTGGCTATGCAGTCTCATGATTGACAGTAATTTTTAAACAGCAGTGAAATGGAAATGAAAACAGTTCTTCTCTTCAACTTCTGCAGGATCAATATTCCTTCAGGATCTGCTCAATATTTCAGCAACCTGTCTTTTTTTCCTTTGGGGCTGGGGTTTTAAGTTTGTGTGTTTTTTCCTAACATAAATTAAAGTTCATGTAACTGTAAAGAAAGCACTCTCTATGAAGCAAGGCATCTTATATATTTCATGAGTGTATCACATTTAAATGTGGTATCAGCACAATCATGTACTGTGCATCTCTGATGGGGTTTATGAGACTGACACAGCTTGTCTCTTCCAGGAACATGTACAAATAACGTATTAGACGAATGCCGCTTACCAAGTGGTAAGATCATTTCTTCGTGTCCCCAAATGGCTTATCACTGGATTGTTGATAACAATGAGTCATGCCATGGAGTACCAGTAATACCAGTTGTAACAACACCTCCACCAAAGCCTCACTGTGAAACGCCTCAACTCTGCAAGCTTATCTGGAGCGAGTAAGAAAAAACCTGAATGAATCAACTCTTTCCAGACAAAACTGTCTTAGTACCTTACAAGAAGAGTAAAAACTATAGCCCTAGTGTGTGATAATAGCTGAAATGTCAGCTTAATGGCAGAATACATACAGTGAAAGGCCTTTGTAAAAGAAATCGGTCTTATTTAATGACTTGCATGCCAAAAATAACTGAGCAAGGAGATGTGAAGTCAGAAAATCAGGGACACAACAAGCACTAAAATCCATGCTTGCTGGGTTGCAACCACACAGATTTATGTTATCTTTCTTCCTCCCTACCTTCCAGAGTATTCTCACCCACTCTTAATTACACTATTAAGTAAAGACTTAACTCTAAATTTGAAGCAGGCCTTCAGTACATACCATAAAGAACCTGGTTACTAACCAGCTTAACAGAGCATCTTAGAAACATCTTAGCCAAAAAATCATCCTTCATTCTTTGTACATTTTGTGTAAAACATGGAGCTCCAAAAGCACAAAGGCTTGTTTTCTGCAGTATTTCCTATACTTGTGTGAGCTCTGACAAAATCTTTTTTCAGCTGGGTGACTTATAAAGGCCATCTTGCACATGCTTGCTGTAGTGTCTAATAAGTTATTAGCTATTGCATGTGCAATTTTTCTATGTCTCAGCTACTTTTATCATCCCTTTTTCCTCAATCTGATGCAGTTGCCTTTTTCATTAAATTCCTGGTGTGAGACTGATGAAAAGTTGTGTACACATACAGAAACAATGCTTCATAGGGGAAAAAAAAAAAAAGGAGCTTCAAATTTCCCAACCTTTCCTTTCCTGAATCTATTTACCAGATTATTATTATCTTAGAATTTTGTTTCTTGTAATACATTCCTTTCTGAAGCAGAGTCACGTGCCATTAACTGGGAAGTGCTGTATTCTATATAATGACTGGTTAACACAAAAGGGTTTTGGGTTTTTTTCTGTCTGCAGGATTTTTGCAGAATGCCATGCTGTGATACCACCAGAACCATTTTTCAAAGGCTGTGTTTTTGATGGATGTCGCATAGCTGATGAATCCATGCAGTGTTCCAGTTTGGAGATATATGCTACAGAGTGTGCTTCTAGAGGTGTCTGCATTGACTGGAGAGGAAACACCAACAATACATGCTGTAAGTACTGCAGAACTCAAAAAATGTCTGTGAGAAATGGTAGTAATTAGTGTTTTATTCGGTAAACACATCTTACATCTAATACTTGGCTACTGTCTAAAAAACCACAGCAACATCACAGAAGCTGCAGATGAAGAAGGCAAAGCTGTAATCACTTTTGCTGCAAAAATGCATCTGCTGACAATTTTTGATCTTTTTTCTTCTTTTTCCATACAGCATACAACTGTGCAGCAAACATGGTATACAAGCCATGTGGGCCCATTAATCCTGCTACCTGTGACCCAAGGTATGGAAAGATAAAAAATCCACCCCAAAACAACTGCTTATATATATTTTTTTTCTATTTTTACCTGTCTACTTTCCTTAGAAAATGGACTAACTTTGTAATGGAATGCCTTGAGAATTTGAATAATTTATTCAAGATTTATAAATATCAATCAGCTCTATGAATATGCACTTCCTGTTGCACTTCAAAAATATAGACATTCTTTTGTCTCCCTTGTACCTGACATGGCAACTTTCTACATATGCTGCTCTTTCTCCTGCTTCACTGCAAAAACATTATACTCAAATGTATACATTCTTCCCACTCAAGCTTTGTTGAACTTCCTGGCTATGGAGTAACTGAAGGATGTTTCTGTCCTGAAGGAAAGACGCTCATGAGTGAAGACAGCAACATCTGTGTCTCTGAATGCTGTAAGTAACCTGTAGCTAGTTTGGGGAGTAAATAGGTATCAGGATTGAGACTCAGGGGGCATGTATTCTGCTGCCATCTTCTACACAGTCAGGTCACAGGTAAATCAGTTCCTTTAAGTTCCTTTAATTTCCCCATCTAAAAAACAAATAATAATCAGTATTACCTTTTTTCCATCTTCCTTATATGAGACTTATCAAGATGGTAGAATTCTACATTTCTGAAGACTGCATATTCATTTTCTTGTTAGTTTTATCTTCACAGTATTTCTATTTGAAACTGAACAAATCTGCTCCTTTATGTCAATTTTCAGCGGTGTAAATCTCCATTCTGCTTTTTTTTTTTTTTACTTTCCAGCTTGCAGGGAACCAAATGGAGTTTCCAGATTGGTGAGTATCACAAGCAATGTGGTTTATCAAGCACAGACAAGTGAAGCAAGAGGATATTTAGTGTTTCATAAAAGCAAAGTTCTGTTGAGATTGAAGGAGACTTCCGTTTTTTTCAAATGTTCATTCCCCTTTAGTCTTAAAAATAATTATGACTGCCAGAGCAGAAACCACATTAGTCCAAGAAATTTAACAGTAAATGATGGGTTATTCTTTCAATAGTCATCACCTCACATACTGGGGAAAAAAAAAAAAAAAAGAGAGAGAGAAAGAAAAGAAGAGATAGATGGTAGTAGTGGAACTTTGGCATATGATCTTTTTAATTTCCACAAATTTGGGTTGCTAAAGTTAATAGAGATGGGTAACAATGTTTACCTATTGTTGATAATGTTAATAGTCTGCATTCTTAGTTCCTCAGCTGCATACAAATTATAGAAATTTCTCTCTGTAACCCAATGTGCAAATGAGTATGTTATATGGTAATTTCTTATTCAAAAATGAATGCAATGCCCAATCACTTCTCCTTTAGACATCTTGTATCTCTCATACTAACACTACTAATAAATAGAAAGTGATAGCTGTTTGAATATGCTCAGACTCTTTGGTGGCCTCCAGTATCTTCCCCTAATTAGCTTCAGTTTGAGAGTTTCCTATAAAATCTAAAAATACTAGAAATAGAAAAAGACTGATGTAATCAGGTATCACTGTATCCATGTCAGCTAGAATGATTTTGGTTTGAGTAGATAGAATAACTTTAGTTTGAATTTATATATAATTTTTTCTTACTTTATTTTCTTTTTCTTTTTCATATAGCCAGGAGAAAAATGGACAAGAGATTGCCAGGAATGTGTCTGTGACAAAAATACTCTTCAAGTGCACTGTAAAAAACACGAATGTTCTCTGACACAGCAAGTATTTTGTGATGAACCAGGTTACACGCCTGTTCAGATACAGATACCAGAAGATCCATGCTGTACCAGGACTGAGTGCTGTAAGTATTGCCTTAGTTCTTTATCATGGGTAATATTCAGAGGAACTACAGGAATAATTTCTCATTTTTTAATACTTTGCATTGATTTCATAATGCTTTTCTCCCTTATTCCACTTCTTTGGACCTTCTTGCAGAGCATTTACTAGATACCTGAAGAGAAAAAGAGTTAGATGAAAATATTTTACATAGTTAGACACAGAAAAGTAAATGTAAATCTCCTATAATTTAACATTGAAAAAGTTTAATGCTTCCTCCACTTGAAACAATATTCAAAAACCATTCAAAGCATTTTCTGTTTCAAAGACCGGTATAAAAAAAATTATCTTAACTTAAAAAAAAAAAGCCTTGAACATTTAAAAATTGCTCAAGAAAGTTCCTGAACTTCTGGAGTCATCAAATTTCCCAGCTGGTACAAATTTCTCTTTGGAAGTATCTCTCTCCAGCAATCGCCACTCTATTCTTCTCAGACAATTCTTTGTTTTACAAAGGTTATGGAAAAGCCCATGCACTTTAAACATAGCTGGACAAATATATTGAATTAGTCATTAAACTAGCTGGTGTAAACAGCACCACATTTGCCCCATGGGAAAACTTCTGAAGTTCACACAAAACAAAATTACTTTCATTTAAAAATTCTGAGTTCATTATTTTCTGTATTCTCTTACATTAAACAGACTGCAATACTAGCCTGTGCCCTGAGGTCACACCCCAGTGCTTAGAGGGACAGGAAGTAGTCACAATAATACAGCCTGGAAAATGCTGTCCTACCTTTGAATGCAGTAAGTACTATGCACTTTCTTCATCTAAGTTTATGAATAGAAAAACCTTAAAAAAGAAAGATGCAAATTATCTGTGTTATCATATAGGGCCAACAAAGCAGCAGTTTTTTCACATACTTCTGCTTCTTAAAACTTACACCTCTATGACATCATTTTTCTTCCTTCTTTATAGGACATGGATGTGTAGTCAATGAAACCTACTATGCAGTAAGTACACAGAGTAACTCACTATAAAAGTAAACCATCACATAAGTTCACAATGCAATGTTTTTGAGACTCCTATCATGGACCATATTTTGCAGAAAGGCCTGAGATAAAACATTATTGATTATTTAATTGAGGTCAGCATATCAACACCTTCCCTCCAAGCAAAAGCATTTTCTGCTCTTCTTTCTGCATTAGCAGAATTTAATTCCATAATGGATATTATCAGCAACAGAAACTCTGCTTAAATAAAACAACCAAAATGGTGTTTAGGATAGTTTAGCCCATACATAGTTCAGCTTTGTATTGTCTGTGATGTACATACACAAAGTAACGTGGTTTTACTGACGAATAACTACTTTTTTCCTGACTTCCCCTAGCCTGGAGCTGTCATTCCATCAGGCCCTTGTGAAGAATGCACCTGCTCTGAATCCTTGTACTCAAGCCCTCGCCACACTACTGTCAAGTGCAAGCCTGTTATCTGTGACACATACTGTCCAGTGGTGAGTGCTATTTTGCCATCAGTAATTCCCCCCCCGCTCAGCTCAAATATCCACCAGTTAAGGTCAGTGTTCTGACTCAACATCATTTGCTCTCTATTTCTTTCAAAACAGGGTTATAAGTATACAAAGCAACCTGGACAGTGCTGCGGCACATGCAAGGCAGTGGCTTGTATCATGACTATGGGAGACAACATTACACGTCCGCTCCAAGTAACTATCCCTGGTTTAGTTCACTTTTGGTGAACTCTGTTAGTCTTTTTGCTCTTTCCTCTCCTTGTCTTTGTCACATTTATTTGCTGCGCCTTTTCTCATATTAGACAAATGCTTATTCAGGCAGGGAATGGACTGTCTCACACAGCTTGAACAGTACCTTGAGCCATGAAACTCCAGTTCTAAGACTTCTGGAAGCAACTGCGATACTGAAAAATGGCTTTCAGAATTAAACATAGAAAAATACATAGGTGAAACCAATGGGCCCTTATTTGCCTTTTAGCTCTGAAAACATAGCACCCATTTTGCTCGAAGGATAATTTTATCTGTGAGGTAGTTTTCTGCTCAAAACAGCCCATCTCAAGTTAGCTGAGAGTTTCAGGACAGGATGAGTCAGTGAAGCTAGCAGAAATTCAGCCATGTATGTGAATGGACCTACCCATAAATTCTGATGACAAAACCACTGAAACACAAATTAATCTTTCCAAATCTTTCTGACCTACCCATAAATTCTGATGACAAAACCATTGAAACAAAATTAAACTTTCCAAATGAGTCCACATACTTATCCTATTCACACAAAAAAGCATATCCATATCCAGATAAAAATACAGCCTCTTCACTTGCTTAATGAAAAAGACTTAGAGCAGTATGATAATATGACAAGTAACTATCAGATGAAATTCAAGGAAAATGTTTGGAGTCATCAAACTGCAGTAGGCAGTAATGATAAGACACTGGGGAGTGGTGGTGGTGTTTCATTTTTATGTAAGAAGATTTTTACTTACTTTAATTTTAACTGCTTTCAGGTTGGAGAATTCTGGAACCCTCCTGGTGATAACTGCACAACTTACACATGTGAAAAACATGATGACCAGTTCATTCAAGTCGTCTTACAGAAGAGCTGTCCTCCCTTTAACCCTGATGATTGTGAGCCAGTAAGTAGTCTTCTACCAGTTCTCATGTTTGAAAAGGTTGCAGTGGCTAACACCACTAACAGAAGGATCATGGTGTCCAAGGAAAATACCTAGCAGAAGCATCACACAGGGCGTAGCTCTCATTTTACCCTCTCTGAATCTGGTCCACATCAAATTTCGTTTCAGAAAAGCAATTCAAAATTAAAATGGGTGATATATATAGCCTCACTGAGAACTGGGCACTAAAGAAAAGGGGACAGCATAATGTTTTGTATTCTTAAAAGTGTCAGATGACCTAGAAGTAAGAATCTTATTGAAAAATAATAGGATTGTTATTCCTAAATTATTTAAGATTATAAATTCTTTTTTAGAATTCCCTTATGGAGAGCAAAGCTGAAGGAAAATAAGCTACTTCAGTTCACAACATCATTCAACTTAATACAGCTCAGGGTAGATTAGAACCAGCACCGCACATCTGGGGAGTTATTTATTTTATTAATTGTGTAACCCTGTCTGACGTAATCCTTCACCACTACTGACTTTGGTCACTTAAAATACCCCACATGTGCTACAAGCTTTATTTCTGAAATTTTACTGCCGAACTCTGATGACACTAAGCCAGTTCCAGTCTCCCTCAATGTCAGCTTTCAAAGAACTCTTATTAGTATTGGAATGAAGTAGTTATGTGCCCTTGCTTGAAATTAAACTCACTACAAAGAACTTTCTGGTGCCAGAGAAACTTAGGAAGCGGGGAAAGTCTCTGCTTTAGTATGTAGATATGAAACCTGAGTTATCTTTTTCTGTTTTCCCACACAAGGGTGACATCAAGCTGTCTGATGATGGCTGCTGTAAAGAATGCCAAAGAAAGAGTAAGTAATGATAATTTTCTTAAGAGAAAGTAATGATAATATGTGCCTTATTAGGTATGTTAGTCCATCTTGCACTGTAGATGCATAGATAGAAGAGGTGAACAAACCAAGTTTGGGACCACTGCCTCACACTGGGGTGAGAAAGGAAACAGGTGGAAAAAGAAAGTAACAGAACATTTTCAGCATGCACTTTAGGGCCTTGGAAAACATGGATATGGTGAACCTTCCCATCTCCTACTGTTAAATGTTATCTTTTTTGTGGGAGGGAGAGGACTATGACTATTCTCCAGCTTCCATAGATACATTCTTCTTTAAGGAAGAAAGTGAAGCTAATCCTAGGAGGTGGGTGTGCACTGAGCCACAGTACTGCTCTTTATTTCTGCATCCTGCACCAAAGTTGCATAAGCAAAAGGGAATTTTTCATTCATTGATAACACAAGCAGCAAGAGTCAGCACTTGGCCTTTACCAATTAAAAGAGAAATGTACTGTGACCTAATTTCCTGAAAGCTCCGTCCATCTCAGTTTTCTACTACAAGCTGTGTATCATACACAGATATCTATTTATACGCATGTACATTTTAACCTATTTTCCCTTGGTTTGTGACAACCTCAGGAATGTGCATGAAGCACAATACTACTGCTGTCATCAAATATCATGGATGTGTATCTCCTGCACCTGTTGAGATGACATACTGTGAAGGCAGCTGTGATGCTTACTCACGGTAAGTGGTATAAAAGAAAATTGTGGTTTCTTGTCTTCTACTCTTTACACTAGTTGCGTAAAGCAAATCACAAGTGATTTTCTAACATATCCAACACCTACCCAGTCATCACCTGTTTCCATTCTGACAACCAGAATTTTTAATAGACATGGTGTTGTACTAGCTTAATTACAAGACTTACAATGCTTTAACAGCCTGTTCAGTGTCATAGTGAATAGACCCAAGTTTTGATTTTGCCTATGTAAAACTGAGGTTATTTCTTTCTCACTATTCTCCCATTTTGGACTGGCTGTGATATCTGACCTGGATTAATTAATTAACTTTTTCTGTGCCTTAAAGACGAGCTAGATCCATCCATTTTTACAATCAGGACCAAATTAAATTCCACCACAATACTGTAAGAATGGTAATATTGAGCAATAGTCCTACATACAATCACACAGCTTGTGGCTGTATTTAGCAATGGGTGGGAGGGGCAGTGGTATTTCTCACATTAATTTTTTCATCTTTCTCTTCTGTTTGTTTTGCAATCAGATATTCGCCAGAGGCAAACACAATGGAACATAAATGCTCATGTTGTCAGGAAATCAAGACCAGCCAAAGAAAGGTGACACTGACATGCAGCGATGGAACCTACCTTGATCACTCATACACCTATGTGGAGAAATGCAGCTGCGTGACAGCTGAGTGCATTCCCCAAGTTAGCACTCAACAGGCAACAAAAACCTCTCAGGAACAAGTGAATGTCAAAAATTAGAACTAGAGAGAAGTTGTCAAACAAGGGTTGAACATAGGACTAAAAAAAAAACTTTGAAAAAATACAGAAGTGTCAAAAGCAGCTAAAATTTTTGATAAACAGATATTTTCTGCATACAAACTCAACACATCTGTTTACGTTATTTCAGTTTTCATTACCAATATATCTCCCATTGTTTTTCATGTCTTTTCTTTTACACCTTGAGAGGTACAGCATAAGGTCATTTTGACATTTCCTGTTTGTTTGTCTTCTGAGAAGTGCTGTACTATAAGACTGAGAGCTGGATTTACACTTGCACAAAGTTTATTATGAGAACAACATTCTTTTCTGGCTTGAAGATTGCCTGTAGTGGCATAATATAGACGCTTGGCAACATCTAATATTTCCATTGATGTAGACTGACCTGTTTTATAACATTTTTATTGCAATTCATTGAGACAAATCAAAAGCTAAAGTCCAGAAAACAAACACGCCAAACCCAAGGAAAACTGTACCTCTCTGTTTCTTTATATTTCTTTTTGCATTAAGGAAAACTTAGACTCCAGAAAGCCATACCTTCTTAAAACTATAAACTTAAATATTTTGAACAATTTATGATGGGCATATTTCCCTATATATTCTCATGAGAAAAAGAAAGAAACCCTATCATGAGAAGCTGCTGCACACTACTCTTTGTTTACATAACACCATCAGCATAGTAACTGTATGAATATATGGATTTTTTGTTGTTTGTGGTTAACTGTTTACAGAAGAAGTATATATATATATTTTGCTAATAGGGGCATATGAAGGATTTTTGTAAACAAAATATAATAATAATAATAATAATAAATAATAATAATAATATATGTAAATTCTTTCCTAGAAAGCTTTTTAAAGTTGAACCATCGCTATTTATTTTGTTTTTGGAAAACTGATTTATTGGGTCATTTCTTTCAGAATTAATGTTATCCCATCTCTTAGTCTTAGTCATGTTATCTGGGTGTGGTATATTTCCTCCTTCTATTTTGTTTTGGAACATTGTTTTATTTTTGTTCCTTATGAAAAGAAGTAATGATGATTAATAAATCTTAAGCATTTTACAGTGTGTCTCCTTTGACTTTTCACTGAATCCCTCACATGAGAGTTGCTGGCCCTGTAAAATATTTGCTTCCCATCCTACTACAGTCATTTTTCAATAGCTCCAGGTCAAATATCAATCTAGACTGTGATACCTAACCCCGTATAGAGCTTTGATACTGCTTTGAGTGAAAGGCACTCACAAGCAAATACTGAAATTGTTCCAAGCACATCATTTCAGATGCTATCAATTAATGACCTTCCAGTAAGCAAGCACATCTTTGACTCTGTATGTTTTGCAGCTCTGAAAGTTCTTTACCTGACAGACAGAAACTATCGAAAATATTCCAGACCAGTTTGACGCATATTTTAGAGCCCACCGCAACATACATAAATATCAAACCTGAAATTGCACTGTTGTAAATCTACAAGTTTTGACATGTTGCTATGCAGCTTTAGTTACACTATAAACCAGCCACCACAGATCTGACTGTAGAATGTATAACACCAAGCAACATGTTTTACACAATTTACAAATGACTGCTCTAGGTTCAGTAGGCGAACAGTAAAAAGTTAAACGCGATGACCTTTCTCCTAGCCTACAGTTTGGAGAGTTTAGCAGAGGGAGTAACAGGGTGTCAGGGTTTAGAGGTAAAACAGAACTGATTTTCTGTTCAGTAATTTTACTTTTCACCTAAGCCTCTTCTAACTAATTGAACTCTCTGAAATTAACGGTGCATTTTTAAGACCATAGTCCATTCTCAGAGTGGTAAGACCTGATTGTTTATAATCTATGCCAAGGAATAGTATGCAGAGAGGCTCTCGCTTATATTTATTGCTGTAACAACCAAGGTCAGCTAATTTTGTTATTTGCCCCGTTGGAGGGTTGGAAGCAGAAAAGTGTACAGGGTTTGCACCTGCGGGAAGGAGCAGACAGGACAGGTGACCCAAGGCTGACCAACAGAGTATTCCACCCAATCTGCATCATGCTCAGTATAAAAGCTGAGAGATCAAACGGCCAGCTCTTTTTCTTCAATGGCCAGCGTCCGAGTAGGACTCTGTTCGTCTGCCTTTGACCCCAAACCATGCATTCCTGAATCCAAACCTGGAATCCAGTTCCCATCCATCACTAAGTCCAGTCTAGGACTTTCCCCATGCCTGCCAGTGACATCACCGTCATCCTGGGAGCTCAATACAGTTTTTTATATATTTCATTCTTTTCTTTCTTATCATTTTATTAATATTTTCATTAAAGTAGTTTAGTTTCTTTTTTAAACTCATAAGTCTCTTTCTCTCTCCCCCTCCTCTCCTTGGAGATAGAGGTGGGGGAGAGCATCTGTCATTCATTTCAGTGGCCAATGCAGCACAAGCCACTCAGTAACAACATAGGCTTTCTGCAGGTGCTCTGCAGCAGCTTAGGCTGCTTTCTCACCCATTTTTCTTTCACAGAGCAGTAACAATCCATATACTCCCCCACTCAGAGGTGAGCACAGAGTTCTCCCTCAAGACTACTGGTAATGTCATACTTCCTGCTGGCAAAAAATCCCTACTTCCTCCCAGCCTTCTGTCGACAAATGGCTACTTCACTGTATGTTTTTCCAGTCCTTAGGCTCTTCTGCTTCTCTGTGAGACCCCAGGTAGCATACTGCTCTGTTCCCCACTTTCCACCTAACCCACCAGGCTTCCCAGGGCAGCACTACTACTGAATTCATGACCAGTCCAGTGAGTGACAGATTCTCTGGCCTTCCCAGGCAAGCTAGGAAATTATTACTCTCCCACTCATTCTCCAGAAGGGAAAAGAGATTGTCTGCAATATAAAATCAATTAGTATGCATGTCTTTGGTCCGCAACAGCTCCTTGTCCACAGTTAACCCACTGAAATAACAGATTCCCTGCATATTGCTTCAAGATGATTAGCTGTTTCTCCATGCAAAGCCTGTCTCTCACCATCCCAGCAGCTACCCTCCTCCCTGGAAAACTCTGCGAGCATTAAGTCTATGCCACCAGCCAGTTCATACAACTCACTGAAATAGGAAAAACTAATACGATGAGGAATAAGGGAATGAGAGACACGTAATATGTGGAAGGGAAATAGGAATATAGGAAGAGAAACATAAGCCAAGGCAAACCATGGAGATATACAAAACCTGTGGCTGAGGACACACTGGAAATGCTGCCTTAGAGAAGTAAGGTTCCATATTACAGATACAGTCCTAGTGCTGGGAAAGAGCAAATGGAAACTCTCAGTTCAAGAGAAGGAGAACAGGGGACAACATACTTCGGGCATGAAAGCGCAAGTGGAAGGACTTGCAGGGACTCCCTGACACAAGGCAGGGTAAGTAAAAAACAGAGAGCTGCAGTGGATGTAGTAGATCAGCCTTACAGGCTTCCTAAATTTTCCTTTACATAGGACTTATCTTTGCTCTGATTTATTGCTGACACAGACTGGGCAATAGCTCCA